CAATTTGAAGCTACTTATGGCTTGGAAAAGTGGTAAAGTTTGATAAACTCGCAAACACCTGACAGATTCGGGCAATTTAACCCGAAGTGTGGTGGCTTACTCTTTTGTTTCATGCCTGTGCATGCAACTGAAATCTAGCTAACAGAAGGTGATGACCTTAAGCTAAGAATTAACTGGGAACACTTTATTTGGGTGCTGTATAAATAACACGCTTATCTAGCTCTTGTCTATTGTATACTTTTCTTTTGATTCAGGCTTTATGTGGAGATTGACCGTCATCAAACATTTAAAGACGCTACGGGAATCAACTAATTACAATTTGGCAGGCTTTCTAAAAATAATCGACCATAGCTCCTACAATTTCCAAATTCGTCGTATTGACACTCAAAATGTATTCAGTTGTCGATTAACTCAGCGTTGAAGAAACAATAATTTTAGGCTTAAACGGCCGATAAAGTCATAAGCTACCGTAATGGACTACAATCGTTTAACGGGAAATTTTAGCATGTCGGTTATTCACAAATATCTGAAATCCAGCCTCCACTGAATTCATTGAATTGTTCCCATTATCGCCATGACTCGCTTTCGAGCATTGCGAATAAATGATTACGAATGTATAATTTGACGGCGGTAAGCGACCTTTACAAATGTGTCTTGCAATCGTAAATATTACAAGAGCACTTTCCTTTTGTTATCTTCTTTTTAGCTACGCCACTGACTCTAAGTCAGCTGGTCCCTGAGTTAAGTCTTCAAGTTGTGTGAGGCATCTTCCACAGTTGAAACTCTTGCTTATTTCCTTCTAAATCAGAATTCTTGGAAACCCACACTGATGATATCGTTTAAAGGAAAAAAAAAATGCCTGTGCATGCATTCTGCCGTTACTATCTTAATTAGAAATTAAACTACTTTTCCGTTCCATGAAATCCACAGCATAACGAAGTTAGTGGTAGACAAAAAATATTTTAATATATCCCACTTACACTCACTCGTCAAAGTAAATTTGCCTCCTCAAGAAAATCAATGTAGAAACTTGGAGAGTAAAAGCAAAACGAAACGCTGAAAAGTCGAATATGTACCAGTAAAAACATGACATTTACAACCACCAGAACTCACCTGCAACGTTTGAAATGTCATCGATTTGTATCACTAAATATTTAGAGAAAGGAGCAACATTTTCCCTTTCATACCGTGTACAATTTCCTAGTATTGCCAAGCTATGACGTCGATTTCCAAGAAAACAGCCTCGACTTCATCTTAAAAGTCGCCCGGATATATGGTTCATTTGCAGTAAAAACAGCTGCGCCTCATGGTTTCATTTTAGTTTTGATCATTGTTGATGTCATTTTTATGATCACTAAGGTTATGTACAATAGAAAATTGTGGTCAATTGGTTTTTTTTTTTTTAATGTAACAATGAAATTTTTATGTCAGCTAAATGCGCCAAAGTTTTGTGAAAAGTTTCTCGCTCGTGACACAATCGATTGTAGCTTTGTTGTTTGTTTAAATTTGTATTATGTGATGACTTCTACAATGAACTACCAGTAAAAAAGGAAGGTAATAGACTATTGCCTACATAGTTTTAATTCTAGTGTCGTGTACTAATTGCTCCGGTATCGGCATGTCTACGCGATTGTCTGTCTTTCAACTTCGCGAACCGAAGACCGGATTTCTATTTCTGAAGATTTTCCTCTGCTTTTCCTTCCATCTCGACAAAGTCTCCTTCAAAACACCTTTCCAAGTATATCGATCTTAAAATATTTAAAGTGTACCAGAAGTCTGTTACTGTTCGAAGATTTCTGGGCGTTGCGTTACAGGATACGTCATGTTCATCGTTTATTGTAAAATAATCGCCAGTCAATCAAGTTTCTTTCGAAGTTCCCTTGTGTTGAGTGATGCGAAACTGTTAAAATCATTATCGAGGGAATGAATGAGTAAAAATATAATTCAGCCTAAAAACTCTTTAGGCGAATCCAATATCGTTTAGTTTTCGCTTCCAGATACCGAAATTGTCGTTGTCGTTGTACACAAGAAAAACTGAAACCGGCAGATTGACCTTCGTTACCACGACTGCGGATGGAAAGCTTTCAGTGTTCATGATTATTTACGGCTGGTGGTGTTGGGGCTATTAAAAGATAGTTTGGTTTTATCCATCACAAGGTTGATAGACCTTGCAGTAGTCGACGCATCGGAAGACGCCATGGTTATTGTTGTTACGCTTTCCTTCACCAATAGATAAATATCAATCCCCTAAATACTGAATTTGGCAGAAATTCCACAGGATCATTCACGATTGATTTCATCTTAATCATTTGATGCATTTGTTACTCGTAACGTTCTGGATGTCTAACGAATGAATCCTGAAGTTGCGCCTACAGACCAAATGAGGCGACACAGGGGGGGGGGATCAGATTATGCCGTTAGAATACGTGATAAAAGGCAGGTTGTTTACAAATAAAGGACAAGTGATAGAGGAAAGTCTAATGTGGCGAAATGGAAATTGATTGGTGGAAAACAATTCAAGCACGTGAATAATTGCCTAACGTTTATATAGTGTTAAGATTGGATATGTTCTGTTTGGAAGTTGCTAGTAGGAGACGGAATGTTAGTTGTTTGGCTTGATCGTTGAAGAAGCAGTAAACACGTTCTTACTTAAAAGTTATGCAAAAAAATGACCTCCGACCTTTGTAATCCCGATAAATGTCGAACTTAAGTGACGAGGCTCTTACGAAGGCCAAAAATCATTACACTCACCAAATGAACACATATTTCTGATTAATGTCTTTATGCGCAGCTCTCTGATCATTCCATGACATCATTGTCGAGAAAACGATGCCCAAACGCTATGATTGGAGCGAGATATTAAAATTCTGTGATATGACTAGTGTGAGATTCATACCCTGATGCGGCAACCTGATTGGCGTGAGATGCATACCTTAGTAAAGCGTTCAGACTGTTGCAAGCAGCATGTCACTCTACACTGTTATGGAGAGTGACTAAAAATGGTTTCAAGGAAATTTCTAGGATGTTTTTAAGGAACTCTCTACAACTTTTTGTCGAGTTTTGTTTTTATGACGTATGTAATAGTAGACATCTCAAATGATCTATATTTATAGAGGATAGCCCCTTCAGTGTAGTAAACACTGGTATCAACGGGGGGTCTTGTTACCCACCCATCCCACCCCAGGGGTGGATATCCATCACACAGTAATTTCCTGCGTGGGTTAATTAACGTCTCCTGCCCCTAACCCTGCATGAGACGGGACCTCCATTTATTTGTCTCTATCCGAGAAGGCTAGAATATCTAATCATTTCTTGATGTTATAGAAAGGTCGCATATTCTTCTCAATTATTTTAAGACCCTGAGTGTTGGTCCGGCCGGGGCTCGAACCCTCGACCTCGCGCACAACAGTCCAGCGCTCTATCCATTGAGCTAACCGGGAGGCGGTTAGCTCAATGAGGTTAGTATTAAAATAGTTAGGTTGTAAGCTTCAGAAATGTTCCGGAATACTTTGTAAATATATAGATAGGGACTAGGTAGTATAGTAGTAAGAGATGCTGTTGTTGGGAGTGATCAACTGTTTGGAAAGCTATCCCAAGAGAGCCCACTGACAATTTCGGGCCAACGTTGTGAAATTACACTTTAAACCATCATGCAATTTTAAAACTTTGGCCCTGAAACTTTTGCATTGCTTTGAGTAGGGTAATAGATCATAACATGGATAAAAT